TTTAAATAAGAGGAACTTGATGAAAAAACAGGAGTGCAAGAGGAAGAAGAACGTGAATGCACAACACTCAGAAATGAGAAGTAACTGAGAAGAGAAATGTTTTGTGTTTGTTCTTGTGCATTTTCTTTTACAGTGTGGATTTCTGATTCTGTGTTTTCAGTAGGATATGATGAATGACAGTTGCATATAGGTGGTTACTCTCTAGTCCAAGGCAAAAGTCTGTGTTCTGGGTCTTAAAGGTCAGATCGCTTCGATTTTGTCTCAGAGTTGGCTAAGATTTGACTGGTCTCAATTAGGGCTGGACGATATGGTAAAATTGATATCACGATATATTTCTTAATTTCGGTCGATACGATATAATTCCGATATCGATATGAACACTATTTATCTGAAATAGAAATCTTTTGTAACATTATAAATGCCTTTATCATCACTTTTGATCAATTGTATATCGAAATATCGGAAATGTGTTTAAAAATCATATCACCGTTATTGAGAAAAATTATATTGCGATACATATTGATATTGAATTATTGTCCAGCCCTAGTCTCAATACAAATATGGGAAAATATGGGAAGTGTTTTCTCCTGAAATGGAAGCAGCGACAGATCTTTTCTGCCATATTGTGATGTACATCCAAGTGTAACAGAAAAATATGTATGGAGGAGACCTGGTTCGTTTCATCGGTTGTTGATTGAATTTTGAGACTGCACTTACAAAGTGGAGGCAGATGAGAGTGAGCCTGCAGGGACTAAAGGGTTATTTCACCCAAAAATGAAACTTCTGTCATTAATTACTCACCCTCGTGTTGTTCGAAACCCGTAAGACCTTCGTTCATCTTCGGAACACAATTTAAGATATTTTGATGAAATCTGAGGGCTCTCTGACCCTCCCATAGACAGCAAGGTAACTACCACGTTCTGCACTAAATGATTGGTTCTGCATATGTCACCAGATGGAAATCTATTGTTTCACTGGAAGATCCAGTTATGATATTTTAATTAAAGATTGTGTTCATTAAATAAATAAATAAATCAGTAGCACTTTAAAATAAGATCCCATTAGTCTACATTAGTAAATGCATTAACTAACATTACCTGACAATGAGCAATAGAATCGTCACAGTGTTCATTAATCTTTGTTAGCATCAGTCCAAAAACTTCAACTGTTTAGTGTAAGTTCATGTTAGTTCAGGTCTATTAAACATTAACAGACACAGCTTTTGATTTGAATAAAGTAATAGTACATTTTGAAATTAATATTAAGTGTTTTTTAATGTTGGTTCATGTTAACTAATGAGGTAATTAAAAACTAATGTTAACAAATAGAAACTTCTTGTAAAATTTTACCAATTGCACATATGCATAAATAATTCATTCACAATAAGATGAATAACATGCACTTAGAAAATAGATTATACGAATACATGTGATGAGCTTGAACATGAGCGAAATCTCATGGGGAACTTGCACGAAATCCCAATCAAGCAGGTTTTTTAATGAAATTAAATTAAAGTTTTGCCCCCGAAATTAAGGTAAATGTGAAATCTGCACTGGAAATTTTTTTGCCCTTTAGTGAAACACTGTTCGTGCAGATTCTTATTGAAATGACTGGATTTCGCCTGTGAAATGTGACCTCACCTTTATATGGTCAATTTTATGTCAACCCAGTTAAGTCAGAATTATTTTGACATGCAAGGAGGGGTCACATTACAGATTGCACAGATACTTATTGAAATGACTGGATTTCACCAGCAAAATTTCACTAAACGTTTATGCATTTTAATATTTCTATATAGCATTATATTTCCCCACTGCTAACGACCTGTGACCCATTTTTGCTTTGCAACCCACCCATTACTTAAATTAGAGATAGTGTATTAATACAGGACAAAAAGTTGTTTAAAATGACAGACAGTTGATTGTAGTTGATGTCTCCTCCATTCACGTTTCTGTATTCTGCTCCCACACTTCACGGAAATGAAGCCAAGTCTCAACGCTGCCCTCCTCACGTCCTTCCCCTGGAAATGAGATCGCATCTTCGCATAATCACACCCTGCCACCTCCTGGCAATCAGCCCCCTTTGCCAGCCTGTGTGATGTGACCACACACAAATACACATACACATGGCTGCCCCACGTCACCCATCCATGGCAACAAAAGCAAGCTTGTGACTTTGAAGAATAGAACATTGACATATCTCATTTGTCAAGACGCCGCTGTGCAGTTGTTGTGCATTGTAATCACTTTCTCTGCCCTGCTACTGTGTGCATATAATCATGAGCCATGGCTATATTTAGCTTCACTGGCGTACGTAGTGTGTAGTGTTTGTCTCGGTGCCACCGAGAGACCTTAGCACGGATGGGATAATGAGCCACCTGGCCTACAGCTGGGCACAGGGAACCAGAAAGGACACAACGCTGGTGTGATGAGAACTGACAGTCCTGGTGCACATGTGTACGCGTCAGTCAGGTGCAAACGGAACAAAAGACCAAAGTAACCTGTACATTAGTGACTGGAGAGTGTGAAATTCACATGCTAGCTAGGCAATGGATGAAAACAGGATGCAAATTACATACGGACTTGTTGCTGGTTTATTTGAATACCTTTGACTAGGGCTGCTCGATTATGACAAAAATCATAATAATTATTATTTTGGTCAATATTGTAATCACGATTATTTAAAAATATTATTATTGGGCCATATGACCAAAATATTAGTTATAATTTATAATATTAGTTAAAAACAAAAACAAAAATTGTCCTCAAAATTATTGAAAATAATTCAACTGTAATAAAAAAGCAAAGGAATACAATGCCAGTAATAAAAAAGCAAAAGAATACAATAGAATAAAAAATATACAAATGAAACAAACTGTGCTTAAATTTTTTTTTTTTTTAAGTATTCAGTTAAAGGGATAGTTCACCCAAAAATTAAAATTTGATGTTTATCTGCTTACCCCCTGGAATGGGGTGCAATAATCATTTTATCTGGATTACTGTATTTTCATAATCGTTGAATGAAGATTACAACTAAAATTTTGGAGGGTTATAGCTGTCAACAATTAGTAGGAATTATAGAGACCCCTGCTTTGAATGACTTCAGCACATCTGCAGCTGCAGGACATCACTAGTTTCTCACACTGTGCTGGTGTGATCTTGGTCCACTCTTCTTTCAGTCTCTTCCACAGTTCTGTGACTATAGTGGGTTTCTTAGCCATAACTTTGTTGCCAAGGATTTCCCAGAAATTTTCAGTTGGGTTTAGGTCAGGACTCTGGGCCGGCCATTTCATTATTTCAGTGTTCTTAGCTTCAAGCAA